TTACCATTTAGTACCAATAAGTCCAGTTTTTGACGCGCTTGACTTTGGTATAAAATACATTTGTAATATCATTGATACTCTGAGTTGTAGAGGGGAAGGTAAAGGTTATGTGACACCCTGTACATTGGTCACAAACTTTACCACACTAATGGAATTAAAAGATAAGAATTGATTCTTCTTTTGCAAATCTTTTTTTTCGAACAAAAATCAACTTCTATTACTTCGGTAGGACTTGATAAATCATTTTTGACCATGGTCATGTTCTTTCGAAAAAACATTTTATTCTTTATCAATTTTCTAGATTCGAAACTGAGAACAATTTATTTTAAGACTTGAGGCTACTCTGTTGATATTGACAAAAAAAGAAAAACATTTATGACTAATCCGTCTGAAATTTCTTCAATATTATTTTAGTTATCAAATATTGTTTATCATGATGATGTACGGTTAGAACGTTTAATGAATATCTCTGGTTATTTACGTGATATTGGCTCTCCAACTGAACCAGATATTGAATCAATGAAAAAGAATATTGGAATATACATGACGTGAGTTATTTTTTTTTCTTTAAAAATTCAAAGAATAAAAAAAAAAATTGTTATCTTATTAGGCATCTTGTCTATTTTTCTTCATATATTTCTACAATATCGACATTAGCAAAATTTTTTAATTCATCTTTGAAACTTGTCGATTCTAAACAGCGTTTATTTAATTCAAGTAATGGTTTTGATGAACCATTATCATCATCTTCATCATTCTCTAATGGCTTGACACCACTCCGTAATTCATTTTTTTTTCTTTTCTTTTTATTTACATGAAAATAATTTTGTTTTTATTATTTCAAGAATGTGAATTATCTGTACAACAACAAACTGAATCTGAGAATAAAACACATTGTTCACCTAAATTATCATTAAATAATAATAAATCTAAACAACAAACTGATGTAGCAAAACAAGCTCGTTCCATAGTACCAACACATAATGGTACACAAACTGGATTAGAAGTACGATGTGAAGAAACTCAAACTGATCGAATGCCTGGACCAGGTTTTATTCTTGCTGAACATCAAGATTATCTTCGAAGATATTCAATGGATGAAGTAAATTATTGTTTTCTTTTCTTTCTTATCAAAAAGTGTTCTTACTTTTTTTTTTTAGTTAGCAAAATTAACACCTGCAGATCTTGTCGCTGATGGACTAGATCAAAATACAGCTCAATTACTTTGTGGTGCTTTAGATGATTTAAAGTAAAAACCAAAAAGAAAAATAATTCTAATTGCAGTTCTTCGTTGATTTTACTTCTATTTAGACCAATGAGTGTTCATTTAAGTAGTAGTACTAAAAATTCTCGATCGCCATGTACTTTTGTTCAAATGCCTTCATCATCATTGTCTCCACCACCATCATCACAGCCAACATCATTACCACCATTGTTAGATGCTGCTTTAATGACTGTTGTACAACAACAACAACAACCATCTCGTACGCCGCCACCAGGTTTTGATCGAAATCAATATGATCCTATTTTAATTAATTTAGCCGGTGCTCATCCGTCTCTATCGTCAAGTTCAAGTCCAAAATTACCTAAAACAGGAACAACTCAATCAGGAAAAAATGGTATTCCTCCACTTCCACCACCACCATTGCCGTTGCCACCACCACCATCATCAACATCAAATTGTCCATCACAAACTCAACATCATGTATCATTATTAACTGCACATCCATTTCTATGTAATTCATTTGAGCCATATTTATTTCCACTAACTTTTCCTCCCGGTTTTCCATCAGCAACGCCTGATTTTATGCGATTAATTGCTCCAAATATGGCAGCTGTAGCCACTAATCCAACAAATACTAGTTTTGTACAAACTTCAAATACTTCACAAGGATCTGTATCTAATTCTCGTTCAACAGCACAATCCAATGGTACGAATACACCACCAGAACAAAATGGACAAAATCATCATCCATCTCCACCACCTCAATCATCATCTCGTCATCAACAACAACAACAGCAACCACCGCAACAGCAACCACAACAACAGCAGCAACAACAACAACCACCACAACAATCCCAGCAACATCATCAACAACAATCACATCATCGTCATAGACAATATTATCAATCTGATCCTTTACAATTTCAACAACAAAATGGATTTCATGCTCAACAACGACAAACACAAACATCTTATCCTCAACAACAACATATAAAACCAAAAGCATGTTATACGTGTGGCGATCTTGGACATCTTGCATTTGCCTGTCCTGAACAGTATTCATCTGATGCAACTTATCCGCATAATACTAGAGGTAAAAAAAAAGAACAGAAAATTTATTTCAACAAAATAATTCTATTATGAAAAATAAATTTTAGATGGTTATAAACTTGATTATCGGCCACGACAGAGTACACCAACTAATATTCAACAGCAACAAAGGCAAATGCGTTCGAACTCAAATTCAAAAACGAAAGTTCGCGATAATAGTTAAACAGTTAGATTTTGTTCCTTTTCTTTTTCATTTTTTTTGTTCTTCCTTTACATTTTTTTCTCTCGTTTATACTCATCAAAACAACGCTACATATCACGACTATCTTTTTGCTATTATCCCTGTTTGCCTTCACTTCTTTTCTTTTTTTTCGTATGATAGATTTTCTCATTCTTTTTGTCTTTCGTCTCTCGTTTCATTTCTGTAACAGCGACATACGTCTTTTTTTACGACATATATTCAACTCGTCCCAACTTCTTTAATATATATATATATTTGCAAGTATTCTTTATATAAAAAAAAAAGAATGATATTACTCTCAAAAGCATAAAGAATATTCATTATTTGTTTCTCTTTTTCCTATTGATTTTTATAATAAGATAGACGAGAATATATTCTACGCCAGGTAAAGTGAAGGCAAAAAGTTTTGAAACTGACTATTTTTGACTTTTTTTCCGAATAGTAGCAGTTAAAACAAATCGGAGAAAAAATTTGATTAGTTAAAATGATTTTTCATCAGAAGAAGTATTTGTCAAATTCTCATTAGCAAATTTGAGTGAAAGACATCTGCAAAACCAAGACTCACAAAAACTAATTCTCTAAGTTCCATCAAAAATGTTTTGCAAACAAGTTCATCTGATCGAGAAAACATTTATGAATAAAATAAGATGTCTGCGAACTCTTCAAGATCTATGTTCAGTGAACGACAACTATTGTGGGATCGATCGAAAAGACTGGTCTCTATGAAAATTTATGAATTTACTGTGTTTTACACTTTGGAGTCTTTTATAGAATAAGTGCAAATCACTGAAGATAGATCATGAAGAACTTGGAGGACATCTTGTTTTTTTTTAGAAATGTTTTCTCTATTAGATGGACTTGTTTTCAAAAGATTTTTGATGCAATCTAGACAATTGGTTTTGGAGAGACTTAGTTTTCCACAGACATTTCATTCAAACCTGTCAATGGCTATTAGATAAGTAGTTTCTTCGAAAGGATATTGTTTCAATTAATCGAATTTTGTCGCCAGTTTGTTCTAGTAGTTACCGTTAAGGAAAAAAAGTCAAAAAACCTTCGATTCTAAACTGTTTGTCTTCAGTTTGTGGTCTAACATTTATAATATAATTTTATAATCGTCGAAAAATTACATTTAATCCAGCCTATTCGTGTTTAATATGAGCTCAACTGGTTATGGTTCGAGCTTATATTTACGAAACCAAGTTCAAAGTGAACTCGATTCTGTTATTTTTGGTAACACAACTTGAAATTGACATCTATTAATATTTACATGTTTCAATTTTCTTTTTTTTTTATTATTAAACTTATACGTTTGTAATTTCTTTTATGATATGATAATATATATGCGTCAATATGTGTAAAACATTAAACATGAAAAAAGAATTTTAACAATATCTTATCACAAGCAGCTAATGAATTTTAAATCATACTGACAAAATCAGTGTGCGTCAGAATAGAATCAAAAGCAATTAAACATTCATCGTTAGAGTGTCGAATTCTCCATCAACTGATGTATTTTCTATTAGAATTCCGAGAAAAAAATTTTCGACTGAAGAAATTTTCCAAAAAAAAAACAAAATAGTTGGAGTTTTGATAAATGAAATACTTCATTTCTTTCCGAATACATCAGGCAATTGCAACATTATTGGATCGTTTGAGGAAAAAAAGAAGTAAGAGATAAAATAAATTTTTGTTTTAAAAGATGATAAGTTATGCGTTTTACTGAAATACATGGGACGAGAAAACGAATATACTACTATTAGTTTGACCACGATATATGACAATCGCTAAACATTCATGAAAATGCCTGTATATGGCTTTTTCGCATATAATTCAAATAACTGCAGAAATACAAGAGATTTGCAAAATTCGTTAAAAATACTTAAAATTATAGATAGACAGAACTTTGTTTACATGCCATGATCGATAAGAACTAAACTAATATAGAATATATTTATGGTAACTCAAGTTATAAAGTAATGCGCATGTCATATTCTCATATGACACATTTCTCATTGAAAGTCTCGCGTGACATATTGACATTAGTTTTTTCTTTTTCTCATGAATTGGAAATTTTTTGACGCTGATATTTCCAATGATGGTTGATCACAATGAATGGATGATATAATCGAAGTTTCGTCTCATACTGCAGTTCCACAAGAGATTTATAGATCAAGTAAAATGGAAAGTCTTGCATGATATTGAGCATATCAACCGAATTTTCAAGTTTTTTATTTTATAGTTTTGATAAACAAGAAACAATACAAATTTATCTTTTTTTGTTTAACGGATTTATTTCCCATTTATTCATTTTCATTCAACGGTACGCCATTCCTTTATCGATGAATTGTTCAATATTAGGTTTATTTTTTAATCTTACATGAGAGAAAATCGAACAGTAATTATACATCTGAAATTCAAAAAAAATCGAATGCATAACACTGTTCAGTCTTATATTTGAAAAGTGCATAATGTTTTTTTTTAATTTTATCAACTTCCAAAATTTATATGCGAAAAGAAAAAATCGATTATACTACGTACATGTTTTAAGATGAGATGGTAGCACAAATCGATCTTTTAGATCTTACCTTGTTAGAGTGTTAGGTTTTTTTCAGATAAATTCCTGGTTATTTGAGTGGTACTAAAGACTTATTAGAGAAACTTACTCTAAAAAGAATCATGAAGATTGATTGAAAACAAATCAAGATGTTGAACTTTTTCAAGTCAATTTTAAAAAAGTGGAAGCATAAAATTGTTATGCAATAACTGACAATAAATGATTTTCAACTGATAGAAACTTCTTCATGTGGAAATGACGAAGAGCTTCTTACAAGTTCTTTCACCATCATAACATTGAATAACGAAGGAAGTATTCTACTTAACATTAGATGCCTATGTAAAGGCATTGAACGTCACATGGCAAGCCGGGTATAAGTGTAGAAGGTCACTCACAGTAACACTCTAGTCTAGTTCATTTATTTTTAGTATGAAGGATCGTTATTTGTTACGATAATGAGCAATATAAGAGTGTTTATTTTGGAATTTGATGAAAAATACAGATGATTTGTGAATGCATTATCCTGATTCATAGACATCTCATATTTGTATGAACTTGCCTATTGAATGAATACTTCATATCCTATCAGTTAATATTCAATTGAAGAATTCGTCTTCTACTGATTCATATTTATTTAAAAATATATTCAACTATCACCCTTTTACATAAACTTTTTGACTGATCACTCTCAGAAAGATTTTGTGTCAAAAGCATTCAAGACTTTTCAGAAATAGTCATGCTTCTATTTCACATAGTATCGATCATGTTCTTTCCAACATTAGACTTAATTTTTCACACTTTAGTTCAAATGCTTCCCGTGTACAAGACAATGATGATGACTGATCTTGACAAAATAAAATTCTCAATAGTTTTAGTAACCTAAATAAAAAAAAATCAACTATGCTCCAACAGTTACATCAATAACATGAATAAATATATAACACTTTTGACAATTCATTAAAACAGTATGATTTTAATTGATATGCATGACTACCATTCATAATTACATAAGAACATGTTATCAACATATTATCAGCCAATTATGAATGTTTATGAGAAATATTTCTATTCTCTTCATGTACCATAAATATACGAAAATGATTATTCAAAATAATCTAATCAAAAAAAACTGTTGACTCAATTCCATAATGAATTTCTGGGATATTTTTGAAAGTTAGATTTTCGAACTATCACTCTTTTTTCAATTCAGTTCAACCAATATTCTTAAAAAACACAATTTCATAAAAAAGGAAGAAAAAATTTCATTTTATTAGTTTTCGTTCTAATATCATATTTTTCATCACAAAAAAATAATAATAATAATAAATTAATCTAGATAATCATTATGATCTACTCATTTGCTTGTTTTTCATCTCACGCATATTACTACAATAATAAACAGAATAAAGGTGAAGGAAAAAAATGGATAAGACGATTAAGCAAAACAAAAAGACGAAAAAAGAAAAGAATTAACGAGAAGAACAATACAAATAAAACATTTAAGGATAATAGAACACGAAACACACGTCAACAGAGAGAAAAAAAATAATAATTCTTTTATGTATAAGACATGGCTTTTCATTTTTTTTTGTGATAAAATATATATACAAACAGACCGAAAAAAAAGAGTTAGATACTAAGAAAAACAAAAACAAAAAAAAAATTTTTTTTCTTATTCAATATCCGAACCAGCTGATGACGATTCATCATGAATTGATCGTTGCCAAGTTTTAAGACGTTGTTCAAGTATTGTTTGCCATGCATATTGTAAACATTTACTTGGATAACGAATTTTATATGGTAGATTCGGTTTATTCGATAGAAATATTAAAGCATCTTGACCTATTCAAAGAATAAAAATTAGAAAAGATCCATAGAAATAAAAACCAATAACTACATACGTTCATCACTTGATCGAAAATCAACAATATCACTTAACGAAATCGCATTACAAACCAGTTTTAAACGTGTATCGATTGCATTTCTTTGGGTCAATAGTAGCATGTCATTTAAGAGAACAGCCCAAGTCTAAAATAAAGTATAAGATGATCAATTTCAAGTTTTTCTATGCCTTCTATATAATAATCGAATTTATTTTCCTTTCCCGTATCATTAAGACGAAAGTTTACGATTCTGGTAGAGCTTATCGTAACCTAATGAATCATTCTTGACTATAGAAAAATTCAAAAGATGTCAACTCGAATGGTAGTTACATTTTATTAATAACTAGATCCGAATTATAAATCTCACAAAATAAGCTTTTCTTTAGTAGAAGTTTGCATCCGATCAAATATTGAAGATCGGGTTAACCTTCTCGCAGTGTTAAATCGCCTCTGAGGAAGGAAAAATCTGAATGAGACATTAAATTCTTCGAACTGTTTAATTATTTTTGAGTTAGGACTATGTGCATCATGTAGACTATATTGAACTTTGAATACCCTAGAAGGAGTTCAAGCTGCTAAATGAATGCTGTGACTAATCTCAAGAAGATTGATATTTGTATTTCGACTTAAAACTTTGCACAACGATAGGTTTTGACAAGAAAAATTTATTGTGAAAGTTTCAAGTCTATTGATTTGCTCTTATTTTAAAATAAGAACATCGTATCTATCAGCGTATGTGATTGATGTCAACAACATGTTTTCATCATAACTATATGCTAGACTACAAACGATGAAAACATTCGAAACTTTAATTAAAATAAACTATTCTCAATAAGACCTATCACAGTGCAAACCTTCGAGTCGAAATACTTATATCAATCTTTTTGAGGAGAACTATACTATATTAACTTAAAAAATATCATAAAAATACACTATCTCAGCACCAGTAAACTAATAGTCTAAACTCTTTTTTTAGAGTATTCGTATAGCTCATTAGGCTTTGCATAATACATATATAGACTTTCTATTCTTAAATTATTGATTACATCACTAAACTCATATTAATTAATCTGTCTTGTACAAATAAAAAATCAATTCGTTCTTTACCTCAATATAATTTTTATTTTCATTTTGTAATAAAAGTACACCCGAAAAAATAATGTGACGATTGTGACCAGTTAATAGAACAGGCTAAATTGCCAAAAAAAGCATATAGAAAAAAAAAAGATTCAATTTCATGGTTTATTCATACTTGAATATTTTGTGTAAATTGAAGTCGATTTTGTAATTCAATAATATCACTATCATCGGAATTATTCATTGATGATGATGATGATATACCATTGGCACTGTTCAATGACATTGTTGTTGTACAATGATGTTGACTTGTTGACGATTCAATGGATGAAACATGTAGTGAACATTGCCGTAACTCTACAAGTCAACAAAATAAGAAAAATAAAAATTTTTCTAATTATATTTTTACCTTTAAGAACATGCAAAAGATAATTAGCATCATTTGCATTTTCACAAGTACAACATAATGTATCCAATTGATTAACAAGATTATCGATATGAGTTAATGGTATCTGTAGAAACTGTTCAATTGTTAGATTTGAATTATTTCCATGAATAAATCTTTGAAAACTAGCACATTTTATTAATTGTTTTAATTGTAAACAAGCATCTGAATAGCCCGATATATAATGATTAAATGCTTCACATATTAATTGAACTTTTTCATGAAAAATCTTTCCAATATGAGTTATTATTGTTCGTTCGGATAATGATTGTAAGCGATTTAATTGATAGCGTGATATTGCTAAAATCTAAAAAAAATAACAAAATAAATTTTTTACTTTTCGAAAAAAAAAAAATTTTTCTTTTTTGTAATTACTTTTTCAATATTTTGAAATAATTTTGCATGTTCATTTGATGATATTTATTAATGTTTTAATGGACGTAAATTTATTTGTACGCCAAGTTCAATTTGATTAATAAATTCTTTTTCAATTTCAATTAAATTTAATACTTCACGTTCGTAAGATTCCGAAAGAATTTTCTTTAAAATAGAAACAATAAAAATAAATTTATATTTCAAACAGAAAAATAAAAATCATATAAAAACATACTAATCGATTATCTTGATCACCATCTGAATATGGATTACTTTCAGAACCAACACCTGATTCACTTCCATCACTTTGTGTTGTAATTTTTCGATCAATTGGTGACATAAGTAAAGATTGCTGATGATCAATATTCATTACAGTAGGTTTTGATATAAAACAATCATATGTTTTTGTTTTACATTGTTTATCGGATGATAAATATAAAGAATTGGTTGATATTAAATTTCTATTTAATGGTTCATGTTGTTCAACAGAATTTAAAACAATTTTATCAACTTTAATTGATGTTGATGGAATTATAAGACGATATAATTGAAGAGTTATCGGTATTGATAAACTTCTATTTAAAATTTTAAAAAAAAATTTTTATTGAAATAAAAAATTTATTTATTACTAACTTTATTAATTTTTTAACAGCTTTAGCTTGTGTTCGTGAAACATTAATATCATTAACTTGTAAAAGTATATCACCAGGCATAGGTCGTGTAGAAGTTGAACTCATACTTGATTTTATTTCACTTATTTTACATGGAAATCCAGACGAAAATTGAATTTCATCACGATCATATATATCAACCTAGAGTTAATGAAAAAGATAAGTAAAATACACATTGCGAAATCTTAAACGAATCAGTATGAATCTAAATATTGAACTAGATATAAATAGATTTGTGAGTCTCAATCGAAGTATCAAAAATGCTGTCAGATCTCAATCTAATTCATAAAACAAAGTGACTTAGGTGCTATGCATAAAAAAACGTCCAGACACTTATGATGACTTTTTTGTCGTTTTTTAAACATTTTATGTGACATTAATTTTTTCTATAGACTTCAGTCCGTAATCCACGAATCTGGGTATTGAAGTCATTTACCTGAGAACTAGGCTCTTTTTAAAAGTATTTTGCAAACTGTGAGTCCAAAGGAAAGATCTTTCCCTGGAAGTCCTGTGTAAATGACAAAGATTTGTAGAGTAGAATGAAGAGCATCCAAGGACTGAGAACTAGGTATTCTTTCTCCGCTTCTCATAGTTTCATGCTTGTTAAAATCAAACGAACACCATATTCACAATATTTTTGCTCTCACAGTAATTCTTGTTTTCCTGAGCAATCATCTTAGATCTTTGTGAAGAGTTCTTCCACAACTTGGGAATTCTTATTACTCAATGCTTAGATATTGCTAAATAACTTACCTTGAACACAAGTCCATTTGATTGATTATAATTTTGAGATGAATGTGGCTTCTTTAATGTTGCAATTTTTTTACTATGTAAAGATGAAGAAGTATCTACATTTAAAGCCATACATTTATGTCGTCCAATTGATTCCGGTAATAGACAATACCATTTATATTTTGATGAAGTCTTAAAACAAAAAAAAAAGAAGAATCAATCATTTTCTTTTACACCTTATATTATTTTAATAGAATATATCACATTGAGGAAAAAAAAACAAAATGAAAACTTCTTTTTTTCACACTTAAATTTAATCGATTTTCTTACCTTTATGCAACTAGTTGTTTTAAGAAGTGTCTTCATATTAAATGACATACAACCGATTAAATCACTTCTAAAATAAAAATATAAACAATATAATGAATGATGGATATATATAGTGTTCCTCTCTTTTTTTTTTTTTTTTTCCCCCCCCCCCCCCCCCCTCCCGCTCCGTAATCGATATATCTATTCGTCAGACTAACAGATGTGTTGTTAAGGGAGAAAAGATAGTGAATCTTCTTTTACACGTGTTATATAGAAAAAAAATGAAGATGATTCGATTACAGTTTTCACACAAATAAAAACTTGTCATAATAAGGTTCTTTTGAAGAATAGTGTCGAGGAAAAACTTCCATATCTCTTTTTTAACACTAACTTATACAACTTACTTATTGTTTGATATGGATTGATTATAAACAGAGATTGTCAAACGTTTTGATGGTGTTGATAAATTATTTTTATTTAAAGGTCTTCAAAAAAAAAAAAAAAAGAAAACATAATAATTACAATCTAATAACTTCTTTTTTTATAAAAATATTTTCTTACATATGAAATTTTTCATCATAAATAGGTGAATTAGTTCCATGAATAATTTTTGAACATTGTTCAAAATGATGAGAATATTTAACCTAAATTAAAAAAATGTTAATTTGTTTTGTCTTTAATGAGGCTGTTAATTAATTTTTTTATCTTACTTTAACAAATGTATTAATTTTATCGGAATCTACAATTGATAATTGTCTTGCACGTATAACTAAAACATATTAGAGAACTTAAAGAAAACAGAACAAAATAATAAGCATGAATTTTACCATGTAATGTTAAAATTGAATTATTAGTATGCTCATCATTTGAGATTGAATACGCAATACATAATGAACCTAGAACAAATGAATAAAATGATTTTCATGGAAATAGAAAGAAAAACAATTTTATTTTAATTCTACCTCGTTTTGGTTGTTGTTCAATAGGTTTTTTTGGTTGAAGTTTTTGAGTATCTTTTATTATTTGATCATTCATTGTTTTTGATGGTGATAATAATGTACAAGGAACAAAATATTTAGTTTTTTTTACACAATCAACAAATTGATTTGTTAATGAACGTTTATTAGATGAAGCTGAAGTTAATAATAAACCTTCATAATTATGAAGTTCATCATTATTACTCATTATGATTGAAAAAGGCAAAATCAGAACAATTTTTTTCTTTATCTAGAATGTAACAAAATTTGAGCTGCTGTGAGAGTATTTATTTCGCTTGGAAAAAAAAAGAAACGAAAACAAATTTTTCAGTCAATTTATACTGTCGTTTTCTTTATATATACATATATATATATACGTAGTTCGATAGTTTAACCCCCCTGTCTCTCATCTAATTATCAGTCTGTCTGTCCAGATATTAGCAGAGACATGCAAAATATAGCTCCCCTGCTAATCATTACAACAGACAGTCTGATTGACTTATATAGAATACAAACATGACGATTGTGAGATGTGGTCAACGAACACCGGTAGTGTTCGAAGAGAAGGTGAAAGGGCGGGGATAGAAAAAGGATTAGAATGACATAATCATATTATATCATTCATTTAATCACTAGCTCTCAATTTTTTTTTTAAATGAATAGAAAGATGATATTTTTTTAGCAAGTTCAACGAGCGGAAAAAAAAAACTTTCTTTTCTTCTGATCAATAGCATCGTGATAGCATATGCTGTTTTGTTTTTTCTGTCTTTGCCAAATCATGATATTCTTCTCTCACGCTATATTTTGTTTTTGTTTTTTGACTAATGAACTCTCCTATGTATTGATGAACATAAAATGATAAGATGCACACGTTGATTTTGAACTTATTTTAGGACGCATGCCATCGATCTATCATCGCATGTATACAAGTATTTGACAACGATATGTCATTCGAATTTTTGGACATTCATCAATAGATAGATAAAAAAAAATAAATGTGTCACATATAAAGCTTTTTTCATTATCAAATATATGAAAATATTCGTTTGAATCTCCTAATATTATTTTGTATTTATGATGTAGGAGTGTACCGAGATCGTGATGATTGGAGGGATGATGTAGGAGTGTACCGAGATCGTGATGATTGGAGGGATGATCCAGGAAGTGGATCAAAAGATTCTTAGTAAATTTGATTGAATATGAGGAATTACGCGTTTTTTTATTTGGTAACTGATGAGGAAGAAAAATTATAAAATGTTGAAACTAAGGATGCACTAGTACTAGTGTATCCCTAGCTAGAATTCTGTCGAAGAAAAACGAAAATTTTTAAAGACTCAGAGTTACTCCTGGTGCTATGTTTTTCTTTTGATATCTTATTATGCGTAAAAAAATATACATGTATTAAAGGAGTACAAAAAAAGATTTAAAGTAAAATATTTTCGTAATGAGAACTCAACAATGTTAAGAAAGAATTTAATGTTACTAATTCTTACGTAATGGAAATACTCGATTTAAAATATATTCTACTTATAATCTATTTCGATTCTATATGTAAAAAATAATATTAAATCTTTATTTACAAATTAACTTTAAACTAATTCAATTTTTAATAAAATAAATAAATTACAGGATCAAACATATATCTAAGAAATAATAAAGCTAAGTAAAAGAGTTCGATTGAAATAATCGAATCATACTGAAATTTGAAGTTCGACTAGGCTTATGGGAATAACATTAATAATGAGTGTAATCGTTGATGAAATAGGAAAGTAATTGCCCTTGACGGACAGCTTAATCTTTAACTCACGTAATTCTAAAGCAAGTGAATGTTTTGTTTCTGCTGTTATTTTTTTCTTCTGTGTATCTTTCTAACGATTTTTTTCGTTACAGCTCATTATTTAAAGGAAATGACAAATCTCCGGAACGAAATCAAACGATTTGCAAATAGTCACCTGCCGTTCATCAACATGATGATAATGTCATATCTGTTTGTATATAAAATTCATCAATGATCCCGAACATGAAACAACGAGAAAGAAAAAAGAAAACCATCATGAACGCGCTCGCTCTTTTTTTCATTTTCTCTATTCACGATGGTAGTATGTAAACAAAGTTATGAATGAGTAAATATTAAAACGATCCAATTTCTAATAGTGTGAAAAAAGGAAAGAATTCTTACCTCTCTCTCTCTTTTTTATTTTTTTTTGTTATATATTGTCGAAACCAATATTATGAAGCTAAGCTGTTTTACTCTTCAAAAGACAAAACAAAGACATGAAAAAAACGATGAGTGACCAGATTATCTCATCCAAGTTGAACAATCGAATATGTGCATTCATATGTTCGTTCGTTCAAGGTGAGAATTTAATTGTTATTCAAACAAACCGACATTAAATTTTAAAGGCCATGATGAAGAAAACAAAAATACAAAATGAGCATGCATAAAAATCATCCGTTATAGACTATGGCACGCGAGACAAGATGAACACTTGACATAAAAAAAAAAAATTTGATTAAAATATACAATCGGTTAGATTATGAACACTGTGCCGACATTCGAAACTTCACAGACTTTCATTCATTGAATATAAAAACATGATATATATAGAACAAACGACTATATTTCATGCTTCTTTAGTTAGCAAGTTAATGTTAATTTTAATTCATATAACAAAATAGAGGATTGTTCAAGTGAAACGTTAAACGATAGAAAAAAAGAAAAAAAAATTGTTCCACTATGTGAGCAAACGAGAAGAGTGAATATTTCTCAGGGAAAAAAAAAGCATTCATGTAATCATCACCATCAGTCAAAATGGTCTTTTCATTTATTTGATGTTCATGCAATCTTTTTTTAATGATTACTGCTGTGTTTTTGCCGCTATTTACAGAATATATCAAACAAAACAAAAAATTAGTAGCGTCCTCTTGGAAATTATTTCACGAGAGAAAAACAAAAAAAAATCATTGCATAATGAGAAATTTTTATTTAAAAACAACTTACGTGTACCTATTTCGTTTCGTATGCGAATTATGTGAAAATATTCACATATAACATTTCCGTTATTTAGTCAAAAAAACGGAAAATTTGTTTTCTCTATGACTTTTGTTTCTTTTTATTCAATACCATACGGAATGAGAAAGAGATATCATAAGTGTGTGTATCGAAAAACAACCACTTGAGATTGAGTATTAACAAGCAAATGTTGTTACATACACCGGAAAATTGACACATCTGTATCAAATAAATATATGCACTTGATTTTCTTAGTTTTGGTGGAATATTGCTGAACAAAAATTTTGAACAATACTTATATAAAGAAATACATACAAATGATCGAAAGATTCTAATGGAGAAATGTCGTGAGGTTGCCAAGATCGGAGGCAGGTGAATGACTCGAAATGTTAATTGAAAAATTTAGAGAATCGCATATTTTTATTGAGAATTGATAGGTTAAAAAAGAAAACGAATAAAACTCGAAAACTACTCGAGATTCATGCGAAGAAGGTGATCCCATTTGATACACTCCGTCCGATCTTAAGATCAAGATGCAGCAAGTTTACATATGATAGAAATAGTAGGTAACAAGAAGGAAAGAGACAATCAAGGCGTTGTTGTCTTCCGTTGACATATAATATCTTTTGATAAAAGAAACTAATCCAAATAAGAAATCTGATGTCAATATTCACAATTTCATTGTATATAACAGCAAATAATATTTTAACTTACTTTTCTATACATATTTTTTTTTTTGATGTATATAATTAATAATTTAAAATATAGAACAAAATAAACTTCTATATACAGATGAACCGAAACGGACCGAATATAAGTGACAGTGAATTATAATTTTCTATTTTAATGGATCGACAATTTTCACACTTTTAACCAGTACTTTTTTCTGCTTGATGCCATCAACTGACACGCACTCATTTTTTTTTTCCTATGATGTTATTCAATTGAAGAATCTATCTGTACCTTTCAATTATGTGCTCATTTATAAAGCAAGAAACCGAATGGTTAAGACAACAATCATCGATGATGTAACCTCCTATTGAGTGAATTGGTATTTTGTTTGAAGTTTTTTCTAGTTTCTTGTCACTATAAACGAGTAGGCGTATATTTAATTGAATAATCACTAAAATACGTATATTAGAAAACGGTTAACTATTACGACATGATCAAAGGACTCATGAAAAAAAAAAACAGAGAAAACGAGATAAAAAATTTTGAATGTTTATTACAGGTTTATTCAAATATTGGAATAAATCTAAAGATTTCGATCATTCATTATGATTTGTCATTCTTTCTCTGTTGGTGTCTAATTTTTTAGTGCCCAACGGCTGTTCATTTAGTTCGATGAAATCTACACCTCATCAGTCGTTATACACATCGATATTTGATCACCTAACTAAATACATACACTCGAGAGAAAAAGAAAACGAAAGGTGGAGAAGCTTTATCATATACACTTATTGTTCTTGCTACGATTTTCCTTCATATATTTATTCTTAATGAGCGCACACACGTGTATATTGAAGAGGAGGGAAGAATGCCCTTAGGATGATGAGGCGTACAATGTTCACCTACTGTGCATTTTACGTCATTGATATAGGTATACAATTGAGCAATCTTTAGAAATATAAAGACATAGGATAAAATATATATATATATGTATAAGAATTTATTCTATTAGAGTCAAGTGTTTGTATAGATCTTTTTTTTGTTCTACTTGTTATTCATGAATACTCAAAATAAAAATAACAATGAGAAAGAATAACAATACTCATCTTTATAATGAGCAGTCAATCGAATAATATCGAACAACATTCAATACCTATTTGCATCTATTTAGACAGATGGTTTGTTTTTTAACCTTTGGAATTCTTTTTTTTTTTTCATATAAAGAATTAAATTTCGCTTCATTAACTATAGACATTTAGATTGAGATCTCAAACGCTTTTTTCTTTTTTTTTGTGTACCCTTATCTATTTCTATATTGACACCTTTATTCCTATAGAGACATATCAATCTCAATCTATAGAAGTGATAATTATTCGTCCCATAGACTGTTGTCAATGTGTATGATAAAAATGAAATAAAAATATTCGATCGTTATATTGAATATTTAAATAATAGGACACGTGTTAAGATTTTACGTGGCAGATGTTTTCTTTTTTAGACAAAAACCAAAGGTTGAGGAAAATCAA